ACCGAAGGTCGGTGACCGAGTGTACATGAAGGCCCCTAGGGAGAAGCAGGCCTCCCGTCACCCAAAGCTTGTAAACCCGTGGGATGGGCCTTATCGCGTGATTGAAACGAGTGAGAACAGCGCCCTCATAACCTGGATAGAAGGGGTTCGAGACCGGTTAGGGTACCTTTTGACATGCTGGTAAAGTTACCAGCGGGAGTGTCAGACGAACCCCTTAGGACAACCACAACACGCAGAAAGAGAGGGAGACCCAGGAAAAACGCTGACTCCAGTAATTCTCTTTCCAAAAAAGTGGTTTGTTTCAGGACTCTCATCTCGATGGATCATCCCTTGAACTTGCGACGGAAATGCAGTTGCGGTATTTTCGATCAAATGGCACATGTAGCAATCCCAACGCTGACGCACCCGGTCAAAGAATGTTGCAGAAATGTTTTAGCTGGCGAACGTGGCATCCATCTCCGAGCAGGAGTGTTGGGGAGACGAACGAAAGGAAGAAGAGTTGCGCAGGAAGAACTCGCAATATATGACGCCTTACGGTCTCGCCCTTGCCATGCAAGCCCACCGCCGTCGCTGCCACCTTTATTCGGAAGCCATCGATGAGGCTATGGGGACCAGGTTCGAGCATCCAGCCTTATTTCCATGGCCTGTGAAATACGATGTCGGGGCATACCTCACGACTGCCCTATCGATGTTGAAAGATGTCCGGGTTGCTGGCGCATCGACTGTCGCTGAGCAGAGGGTCTTTCTTGCTCTACCCTCGGCGTTCGGCAGAGTCCACTCCGAAGTGGACTACGATGAGAACATGACTGTTTATGTATATGAAAGCTGGGAACTCCTAGCTCAGAAGTTGATAGAAACGAAGACTGTGACGGCCATTATAATAGTGTGGCCAGATACGATGCCCTCATCAAGATCTATGAGGCAGATGATCGTCGCATTGGAACGGCATCTTCAGCCAGGCGGAACGCTCCTATTCTTTCCCAGCCCCTACGAAGACAATAACAGAGAAGAATGGACGCGCATGGGAGAAGTATGCGCAGAGTTTGTGCGCTTCATTACGAAGGAAGATCGCAACTTTGAGGCCATGGTTCGCGACCATTACAGTGAAGTGCTGGAGTCTTCGCCCCACACGCATCCCGCCGTCTGCATGGGGACGGATCCTCGACACAAGAAGGCTCCCTTTATAGGCAGACAAATCGTACTTTTTCTGGAGAAGTTGCGGATCACGGTGGGGGACGTGTTGAAGTTGAAAGCGTTCGGACCAGCATCGCCAGAGCTGAAAGAGCGGCGCCGGCAGGAAAAGCTGGCCAGAGCGAAACGCCGGCAGGAAGAATTCAAGCCCAATTTTTTCGTCATGCCCGATCCTGAGCGAAAGCGCCACTCGCTGACCTCACGTTTCAGCAGCCTCGTGGCCATCAGAGAGGTAGGGGCAGAAGTGCTAGCCCGCCGGAGAGAAGGTGGAAAAGGAAGTCTGGGGGGAAACACCTCCTAAGAAGAAGGGATCGACAAGAGTCGGGACGACTCTTCTCCTTGGAGGTGCATGTTATGTTTTGGTTACTTTGTTGTAAATTTACCAGTTATTGTTACCTGTTGAAGTTATGAAGTTTTGCTTGAGGCTCTCGTTTCGTTCTACATTCTTAGGGACGTGAGCCGAATCAATCGATATGCAACGCGGACGCTCGGCCAATCGACGCCTAGTTTCCCGCCAAGTGTGACGTCAGCACTTCGAACGGACCAATGGCGAGCACTTCCGGTTCCGCCCCTTCAAGCCCGTATACAGGGGGGGGGGCAAAAAAAAGTCATTTTGCCTCCATGACTTTCAAGGCGCTATAAGTTACACTTTATTAAATTTTTATCGGACATTTTTACTACCATATTAAAGAGCACATTAAATACTATAATGATACTCCGCCACAGCCTTCTGGAGGAGCGCCATCGAGAGATTCGGCCGCGCGAAAGTGAGTGGGTACCGGAGTTGAGCGAGATCGTTGATTTCTCCGCCACTGTAGACCACCCTGTTGAGCCCCCGAACCGAGTAATTGAGGGGGTTTAGTTCAGGACCCCCGCTTAAACACTCCACCTTTTCCAGGTACTGAACGTTCTTCCATTCCAAGTAGGCGAAAGTTTTTCCAACGCCCTTCGATTCCACGTGGTGGCACCAAATGCTGTAGCAGTACAAAGTTTCCAAGAAGGTACGGGCGACGACATGTGGGGAATATATTCTTCTTGAGTTGGTCGACCCTTGACCCTCGGTAACCGCCAGCGCTCAGCTTCAGCCCGGGGTCCACGAAGAAAATATCGGTTCATTCATTCCATGTACGGCCGGTCCATACCATCAACCCGCGCCTTGGTGAATGGGGTGAAGATGATGTCCTGGACCGTAGCGACGTTGCCGGAGCTGCTCGATGTTTGAGGTCTTGCAGATCAAGAGTACTGGTCTCCAGGTAGCTATCCATGGGTGATTCCATTCAAGAAGTTCCGCAGCTGTTTGGAGGCCACGTGAATTCCAAAGGCGTTCTCCACTCAGGCCGCGACTGGAGATGACTTCATATTTTGGTGTACATGAAGGTGAATGGCGGCAGCCGGCTCCTGCTTATAGAAGATCTTGGGTATCTTCCGCCCTGGTACTCATATCCACTTCCTCTGTCTGGGCTGCGAAAACTTCGCTCATATGTGACTCGGCCGGAATGACTTTTTTTTGGCCCCCCCCCTGTATAAAGACCGACTAGTGTGAAGAAGATCAGTCTAACCCGAGCGTGAGCTAGAGAGTAGTGCCTTCGGACGCTACTCTGGTTTAAATAAACAGTTGCATCAAACAGTTGTCGGTTCGCCTTCAACCCACGAGGCCGAGGTGGCATTCCGTGACATATAATATATAATATATATATATTATATAATATATATTATATTATATATATATATATATATATATATATATATATATATATATATATATATATATATATATATATATATATATATATATATATATATATATATATATATACCAAGCTGGCATTTCGACGCGCCACTTACTGCGCGTTATGGATTGCAACTATGGCTAATGTACTGCGCTGGTACTAGGACTTCCTATATTGACCCGAACACTTCGCCCGAGTTATCAATTTTATAAGATACGGCCTGAATATTCATACATTGATTCTCCTAAATTTACAATGACGTTGTAATAGCCTGCGCTTAGCTTATTTCACATTTCTACGAAACATCGATATCCGTTGGAAATTAGGGACAGCTTAGCGGTATAAGACTTATGGCATTGTAATAACATCGATTAGTCATGGTTGATATATCATATCTCATTCTCTCACAGCTATGTACTTCCGTTTGAGCAGCTTTCCAAGCTTTATAATTTTTCGCTCCAAACTCGAGAGCTTAGCTGGTCGTAACCATGGATTATATGGGAATAGAATACTTGACTCATTCGAAGCTCTAAGCATTTGATTCCTTGCTGGCACCGGTGCTGAAAGTTTCATTCAGCTTTTGTGTGGCGTGCAGGAAGCCTGATACACGCTATCAGTCTTAGCAGCTGTTATGCACGGTTTCCTGCCCCCACCCACCAATAATGTTCCCATCCTGCCCCCTATCTAACTTCTTGAAACCAACGTCCCATCGCTGCTGTGGCCGGTGTTATGAATTAGGTAACTCACTCCTTTTGAGGCCCTCCTTATGGTTCTTATCAAGCTGTTTATTCACTACCTGTTCTACCCACCATGATAAATGTTCCATCCTGCCCCCTATCTTCACTATCTTTGAAATTCAATCCGTCCCATCCTGCTGTTGGCCGCGTGTTATGAATTAGGTACTCACTCCTTTTCAAGGCTCCTCGTTGGGGTGCTCTTATCAGCCTGCTTAGCACGTCCTGCCATCCCACAATAATTGTTCCCATCCGCTCGCATATCTAAGGTTGTGCGTGGGGCTTAAAACACGGGGGGGGTGGGGTGCTAATTCCCGGTGCGTTCCCAGGGTCGTGCGCTGCGCCGCTTGGTGTCGTGGGGTCGCCGGATCTGTGGGGTGCTTGTGTGTGTTTTGGGAAGTATATTTGGATATAATGTGTACTTTTGTGTGCTGTGTACTCTTGTTTGTGTGTTTGGTGTGTGTGTGTTGGTGAGGTCCTTTATGGTATCTTATCAGCTGTTATCACTTCCTGTCACCCACCAATAATGTTCCCATCCTGCCCCTATCTAACTTCTTGAAACCAACGTCCCATCGCTGGCTTGTGACAGCGCTGTTGTGAATTTTTGATGACCCTCACTTTCTAAGGCCTCCTTATGGTATCTTATCAACTGTTATCACTCCCTGCCACCGACCAATAATGTTCGTGCACGACCCCCTACATTACTTATCAGTTTGAGGGCTCTATCGCTCTCTTGAAGGAAGTTATGAATTTTCCGGTCAAACACACACGAACACATTCACCATCACACCACACACACACCAACAGACAAACTTGCCGGATTATATATATATATATATATATATATATATATATATATATATATATATATATATATATATATATATATATATATATATATATATATATATATATATATATATATATATATATATATATATATATATATATATATATATATATATATATATATGGGGTGATATTGCTCTTTAGTCACACTTGATGAACGGGCTATACTTTGGTTGTAAGGCAAAAACTTTTCTATCACACAGCATAAAGCTCGTCGATAAAACTTCTCATCTTTATATGGAATTCTAAGTTGGGAAGAAACGCTATTACTTATTGGCCAACCCAGTAATTTTAGGATTCGGAGGAAATCTTTTACTACGAGATGCTCTCGCAAGGCATACGGTCGCCTTATCAGCAATCTCACAGGGAGAGCCCCTTTGACCCTCTCTCGCCATCTGAAGACTGAGAGAATTTTTGACGAGGTCGTTGACAAATAAAGGAGCAAAAAGCAACATCCTTCACAGGACTTCCATACTGACATGAAATATTGTGCAGTTTGAAACGTTACTCTTCTCCAAAGAATTTCAGAGAAGCTTCAATCGATCTCACTGTAAAATTCACGGTGTCCAACAATGTTGGACCCCCTACAACGGCGAGGGGGATTTTAAGGAGGTTGTTGTTCAAGGTAAGTTTTCCATTTTGCCATTTCATCTTTCTATTTCTTATTGCATTATCTTGAACTCTCAGAGCGGATGTAGGCAGCTGAGCCGTAAACGTGTGGCGCCAATCCCTCGAGCTGAATATGAAGAACAGGCTTGTGAATACTGGTATGAGGCAGCAGTGTCTTCTGTATCAGATAGAAGACAGTGAGCTGTGATTGATTTTGCCTTTTCTTTTACAGTGTAATAGTAGAGTGACCCATGACAATTCAAGGGATCACGTGATGGTACGGCTCACTCAAAAGCTTTGCTACTTTCTTGCGGGAGGCTTCCATGACCAAATTCTTGCTGAACTCCCTGGAATAAAGACGATTTTTGCGGAAGTCAGGTCAGCTTATGAATTCCGCTCTGCCTACTACTGACTCCCATAGTAAATTTTTAGCTTTTGTGAAGAAAAAGTGAAGAAGGAAGTGAATTTGACGAAAACTTGCACATCTTAATGACCTTGGTCTGTTGTTCAGATCCCGGATTGAATCTCGTCCAGATTAAGCTTTCCATGCACGGGTCAGTTTCTTGGAAGCAGGCTCAACTGAACTCTGACTAACAGTATTGAACTGTACAGTGGCGCTCAGTGAGTCGTAACCTTTCTGAATGAAATCGCGAAAAGTTTCGATATGTTGAGCAAACATGTCGTAGACCGTAAGGCACAGTACGATTAAGAAACGAAAGAATCTCCACATCACAACGAGGATTTCCATTGCTACTGCAATTCTGGCTGATAGGGGGATCAGCATCATCTGCTTTTATCGCACCTTATAAATTACTATTTTTCTCCTTACTTCTTTGCTAGGTATTAGTGCTGGTAAGCTCAAAACATGGTGAAGAAGGCATGAATCTTCCAAGTGTTGCATTACTTATGGACATAAAAATACACTGGTGTGCAAAACTTAGGGACGAAAGCAACTTTCGATCACTGTGCCTCTGCCAGACAACATAGCTCGATGAAATTCATATCATATCAAGAGAGAACCTTAACGATATTGTACAGAAAGCAACTGACAGAAACTCGGAATAAGACGAATTGTTATGACATTTTTATTCAACCATGTCGATTACACATAAGTCTTCACGATTTATCCTGGTACTACAAAAGAAGTTACACGGATCCTAATAGGGTGTGTGATCACCACGGACAGCAATACATGCTCTGCACCGCGATCCCATACTCTCCACGAGGTTGGTAATGAGTTCCTGGGGCAGGGCATCAACTCCTCAAGCAGTTGGAAAATAAAACTGTGAAGAAAATGGGTCGAGAATGGATGGAGAAGATCTGCGAACATAAACGACAAAAAAGGACGCGAGGGTAACCAAGCATAAATTGTGGACAACACGAAGAAAATTAACTCATTACAAAAAAGGATGCAAAAGACTGAAAAAGCGCCATACTCAGACACAAAAACAGGAAAAAATGAAGCTGAAATGCTCGCGCTCGCACTTGAAAATCAATCGCTTGCGGTCTTCAAAATTGCAATTAAAGTTAGAGTTAGTTAGTTTTGCGGCGTGGCATTGGAACGAGCTATTTCGCGGTCCAAATTCAGATCCAAGCTGAGCACTCCGGAAGTGCCCTTTGCTTGAACACTCACAACTTTGAAAGTGGAGCTTTGGGAGAGTAAAGAACAGGGCTGTAAGGCATTACGCAGGCACTTATTGGCCGACTTTGAGCAATTCTGGGAACCTCCTTTTATAAAAAGCTTTCCTGTTGTGTCTCCGTTATGGCATTTGAGGATCATCCACGGGTTCTTACACTTTGAACAGCTATAACGATCTTCATACAAGGCTGTTTGTGAACAAAAAGCAGCGCCAGAATCTAGAAAGTCTCTATTATTAGATGAAGTTTTCTTTTTTCTCGCAACCCTTTGCGGACGAAAACCCACCTCCTCCGACGCAATACCCCTTTCAGTTGGGTTGAAGACTTTGCTATGCCTCTAAAACACATATTCTCGCCAATGGCATCAAGGAAATAGTTCATTCGACGTTCATCAATGCTAAAATGCACCGTGCATACGGCTCCTACGCAGATGTGTTGGGAAGATGTAACTTCCAGATGAGGCTTCCCCCGTGCAAGCACATGCGCTCCTGCTATCAGAGCGGTCCGAACGTGTACGTGTTTCACCTGCTAATTTATAACGTCGTGTGAGCCGCCATCGTGCTTCCTGTCATCGCCTGTTCCCCACTTCTGAGCTTGCAGGTTGCTTCTGTCTTCAGGTGTCTCTTCAGGTGTTCTACACATAAAGAACAATGAATAAACCCCTCGACCGCTCCCCCCCCCCCCCCTCCTCGCTGTGATTATTGCAACGATAGCGTGGCTGCTTGGCAGTTCCAGCGACGAACACACTAAATCGTCCTACGACGCTGCAGGCAGCACGCGCGGTAATCGACTGTATAAGTCGCTACTGTATCAGCTGTGTAGGCAGTATAAATGCAGGTCAATCGTTCCCGGCGCTGCGATCTCGCACTGTGACAAAAAGAACACTCTCACCTGCTACGGACCTGACTACCAAAGGCGCGGAGGCATTCTACGTACCACTTGATCGCGGAAGTGTCTTTGATTTTATGAGGGATGTATTTCGCATACCCATTGCACCATTACTTTTTTAATCTGAAAATTTCTCCATTCCTCGATAATTTTGAAAAGCATCCAGCCGAAGAATCTCCCCCAATCTGGGAAAGTGGAAAGTTCGAAAGAAGTTATCACGCCATCAGCTTGCCTAGTATTTTGTTGATTGCAGTAAAGTTCAGGGATGAGGACAAGTTTTGTTTTTCCTGAAATGACGCTGTCAGATGAGTTCTCTAACGCGTCCTTTCTTCCTCATGAAATGGCTTATATTCTGATACCTGATGGGACAGTGCTTTTCTGCAGGATAGCTCCAAATTCGCCTGCTTCGGACAATTTTCATTCATCCTTTGACTTGTTCTTCTGACATCTATACACTTTTCACTTTGAATCGGACACTTTTCAAACCAAATCGGACACTTTTCAAACCAAATCGGACACTTTTCAAATCAAATCGGACACTTTTCAAATCAAATCGGACACACCCTTACAATGGGCAGTTGAGAACTAGACCACACTAGGTACTGCTGCAAGCCCCGCCCCAACACCCCCGCCCACTTCTCAGCGCGATCACGGTTTTCCAATATGTTTTATGAATTCTGCTTCTTCAAATTTTTTTCACTTTTGCTACTTGACACACACATTTAACTGAATAGGTTTGCTACCGACACATATATGACTCCGCCCACTTCACAATGAAGTGACGTAAGTTCTGAATTTTTATAACTTTTTTCGACGTCGTTTTTTCACATTCAATCTTCACAAAACGAATATAGCCATGCATTTACACACTAGCACACTAGGCCCCGCCCCTCTGACCACGCCCACTTTCGTTTTTCGCGGAATTTTGATTTTTCTTCCGAATTTTCACTTTTTAGGCTGTGACAAGCGGCCCCGCCCACTAATGGAAGCCCGCCCACTTTTCAAAAATGATGCAGATCGGCGAGCTAGTGACCGTACTAGCAGGTTATGGCCTCTCCCGTCACCCGGAACAAAGTTTCCTTTTTTTCTGGTCTTTCCCTTTTTTTCATTCTATGTGACGGGAGAGGCCATAACCTGCTAGTACGGTCACTAGCTCGCCGATCTGCATCATTTTTGAAAAGTGGGCGGGGCTTCTACAAAGTGGGCGGAGCTTCCATTAGTGGGCGGGGCCGCTTGTCAGTGAAAATTCGGAAGAAAAATCAAAATTCCGCGAAAAACGAAAGTGGGCGTGGTCAGAGGGGCGGGGCTTAGTGTGCTAGTGTGTAAATGCATGGCTATATTCGTTTTGTGAAGATTGAATGTGAAAAGAACGACGTCGAAAAAAGTTATAAAATTCAAAACTTGCGGCAACTTCATTGAGAAGTGGGCGGAGTCAGACCTGTGTCGGTACCAATCCTTTTCAGTTGAAGTGTGTGTGCAACTAGCAAAAGTGAAAAAAAGTCGAAGAAGCAGAATTCATAAAACATTTGGAAAACCGTGGCCGCGCTGAAGAAGTGGGCGGGGTGTTGGGGCGGGGCTTGCAGCAGTACCTAGTGTGGTCTAGTTCTCAACTGCCCATTGTAAGGGGTGTGTCCGATTTGATTTGAAAAGTGTCCGATTTGATTTGAAAAGTCCTTTTTGATTTGAAAAGTGTCCGCTTTGATAAAATGTCCGTTTTGGTTTGAAAAAAGTCCGATTTGGTTTGAAAAAATGTCCGTTTAAAGTGAAAATGGTATCTATCGTCCATGGTAGCGATGCTACATGCTATCTGGGACAGATACCCCTCTCCACTGCTTTGAGACTTATCGGCTCCGATCCGGCAAATGAGGATGGTCGCCAATTCGAAATGGCCATTTGTAGTGAGACATAAATCACTGGATGGGGATTTGGACGCTGATCTCAAGTCTCGTATTAATCCAAAACTTGCAAAAGGATTCCTTAGGCAGCGTTCAGACTTCAGACAACGGCAGCTCTGATCGATGCAGTAGGAGGCATGCGCATCAATCGCGCCCGACCGAAGCGCTGCCTTTGCGAGGTTTAAACGCTGCTTAAACGGATTTATGAAGGTTTGTTCGAGTGAAGGGGCACGGAGTCAAGAGCAGCTGCAAGTTTTCAGTTTGCGTCAATAACCACAAGGCGCTTCTACTACCAGCGGCAGCATGGTATAGTGACAAAAGTCTTGCTACTCGGGCGTGAGATGTAGGCTCGAATTTTGTGGAGGATAAGATTTTGTATTCTGTGAAAAATGTCTTCTTCGAGTCTAGAGAACTCTTTCAAGCGTTGATGTGATCACACTTCACGAATCCAGTCAATGACCTAGGTTTGTAGAATGAAGGCGCCAAATCCTACAGGATTGGGGGCCTGCGTCCTACAAAAAAATTATACTGCCTACTGGTGCCCGTAGCCCACGCCCCAAGCGCTGACGCGCCAAACGGGCGTCACATTCGTGTTCAGGGAGCGAAATCTGTCTCCCTGGAGACAGATTTCTCCCAAGTGTAAGATTTTGACCTAATTTGAAAATGTGGGGCAGCTGTAGCTAAAGAAATGTGAACATGACTTGAATTGCACCTCATGGGTAGTTCCTGTTCAAAGTCATGTCAAAGTGCCAGACTTGGCTAAAACGCGTACCTAGGGACAGTTTGACCAGCGTGACACGAATACGACGCTCACCTAGCCCGAAAAGGCCTGTATCATGGACCACGGGCACCGGTGCACCCGAACCTTCTTCTGAATCGCAAGGCACGCAAGCGTAGTAATACTGCATGCAAACTTTCTCAGGCAACTTGAGGTGAGCAATAATCTAGTAATGACGCCACAACCACGTTTGCCGTGTTCCTGCATGAAAAAAAACTTAAGCCTAAACAGGACCCGATTCTGTGACCTGTTGCTCGGTAGGGAGAAAAAAGCTCCACAACCCCGTCCAGGAGATCCTGCTAATTTCAAAGGCAATTTCAAGATCAGCGTTCAAAACCGC